CTTTCCATTTATGTCGGTTAGCCTCTTCTTTAGGTTTTGGTTGATGGTTTTGTTGGTCGATTCGGCTTGTCCATTTCCGCTAGGATGATAAGGTGTTGATAGGAATCTTTTGATCTTGTGATCTTCGAGAAATTTAGTCACCTTGCTACCGATGAACTACTTTCCATTATCGCATACAATTTCGGAAGGCATCCCGAATTGACATATGATGTTATCCCAAATGAAGTCGATGACTTCCTTCTCCCTGACTTTCTCGAAAGCCTGTGCTTCAACCCACTTAGAAAAATAATCAGTCATAAATAAAACAAATTGAGCTTTACCTGGGGCCCATAGAAGAGGGCCAACGATGTCCATTCCCCACATCATGAACAGCCATGGGGACAAGACCGAATGGAGTAGCTCCCCCGATTGATGAATCATCGGTGCATGTCTTTGGCACTTGTCGCATTTTCGAACAAACTCTTTCGCATCTTTGTCCATGTCGATCCAGTAGTATCCGGCTCTGATTACTTTGTGGACCAATGATTCGGCACTGGAATGATTTCTGCAAGTGCCCTCGTGGACTTCCCTCAGAACATATTTGGTGTCTCCTGATCCCAGATATATTGCTAACGGACCATCAAACATCCTTCTGAACAAGGTCCCATCTTCGGACAAGGTGAATTATGCTGCCTGCGTGCGCAAGGCTCTCGATTATTTTGAGTCCGAGGGAAGCTTTCCGTTCTTCAAATACTATGTATTTGTTTCTCCAATCCCAGGTCAAACTTGTAGAGTTTACTCGGCGTGGCCTTCTTCGACCACTGACCTCATGAGTGGTACCACAGCCCCCGAATTGAGTTTGTTGTCTTCGACTGATGACCCTAGGTTTGCGAGGGCATCGGCTTAGCTATTGTGATCTCGAGGCACATGTTGCAAAGTCCATTCCTTAAATCAGTGTAGAGTTACTTGTAGCTTATCCAGGTATCTTTGCATTCATTCCTCTCGAACTTCAAAGGTTTCGTTAACCTGATTCACAACGACGAGGGAGTCACATTTGGCTTTGATCACCTCCGCTCCCAAGCCTTTGGCTAGTTCAAGACCTGCAATCATGGCCTCATATTCAGCCTCGTTGTTAGTCAATTTTACAGTTCTAATAGATTTTCTAACCATGCTACCTGTGGGTGGCTTTAGCACAATGCCGAGTCCGGACCCCTTTGCGTTCGAAGCACCGTCCATAAAGAGGGTCCAAATTCCCGAAGATGTACCCAAGTTGACTAATAGTTATCTTTCAACCTCGGGTACTAGGGGGCGACGTGAAGTCAGCTACTAAGTCTACAAAATTTGAGACTTGATGGCTGTTCGGGGCGATACTCAATATCGTACCCGCTAATTTCTACGGACCATTTGGCGAATCGTCTCAAAAGCTCCGGCTTATGCAAAATATTTCAAAGAGGATAAGTTGTTACAACACATATGGGATGACATTGAAAGTATGGTTTTAGTTTCCTAGAGGCGCTTATCTAAGCGAGCGCTAATTTTTCTAGATGGGGATACCGAGTTTCGGCCTCTCCTAAGGTCCGACTAACGTAATAGATAGGGAATTGCGTACCTTGTTCTTCTCGGACCAGGACTCCACTTACCGCTATCTCCGATACTACCATATACAAGTAAAGTTTTTCGTTTGCCCTTGGTGTGTGAAGAAGTAGCGGGCTCGATAAGTACCGTTTAAGCTCCTCCAAGGCATGTTGGCATTCCGGAGTCCATGTGAAGTTATTATTTTTCTTCAGCAACGAAAAGAATCGATGGCTCTTATCGGAGGACCTCGAGATTAATCGTCCCAGGGAGGCTATGTGCCCCTTTAACCTCTGCATGGCCTTTACGTTGTCTACTATCGTGATGTCCTCGATAGGTTATATTTTTTTGGGGTTGATCTCGATTCCTCGATTGGATACCATGAAGCCGAAAAATTTGCCAGAGCCGACCCCGAACACGCATTTTCTGTGTTGAGCCTCATTTGTATTTCTTCAGTATACTGAAAGTTTCGTGCAAATGCTTCAAATGGTCCTCTGCTCGCAGGGACTTAACTATCATGTCATCAATATAAACTTCCATAGAATTCCCTATTTGTTCTTCGAACATTCAATTTACTAGGCGTTGATAAGTTGCACCAACATTTTTTAATCCGAATGGCATTACGTTGTAGCAATAGGTACCATACTTAGTGATGAACGACGTCTTTTCCTGGTCTTCCGGGTTCATCTGTATTTGGTTTTACCCAGAATAGACATCAAGAAAACTGAGGATCTCATGGCCAACCGTGGTATCGATCAAGTGATCAATATTAGGCAAAGGAAAAGAATCCTTGGGGCATGCTTTATTTAGGTCTTTGTAATCTACACACATTCTAAGTTTGTTTCCCTTCTTCGGGACTACTACTACGTTTTCTAACCATTCAGGATATTTTACTTCCCGGATGGACCCTATTTTGAGAAGTTTGGTTGCCTTGTCTTTGATGAAAGCGTGTTTGACCTCGGACTGGAGTCTTCTCTTTTGCTTCACCAGATGGAACTTTGAGTCCAGGCTTAGTTTATGGGTGGTGATATCCGTTGGGATCACTGTCATATCGAGATGGGACCAAGAAAAGCAACTCATGTTAGTTTTAAGGAACTGAATAAGCTTTTCCCTGAGCTTGGGGGCTAGCCCCGTGCCCAGGTATACCTTTCGTTCGGGCTAGTGTTCGGCCATTATGATTTGCTCCAGCTCTTCGACCGTTGACTTGGTGGCGTCGGAATCATCGGGGACTATGAAAGTGTTACATCCCGTAATTTAATATTAGGATGAGTCGTAGTAATTCATATGAGCTTGAAGGGATTAAGACCACTCATGAGGTTATAAAGGATTTGTGACTATGTTATTATAAGACCATGTGAGTTTAACAACCTTGATACCGTTATATACATTAGATATTGTATTTGAGTGAAACATTTATGTAAAAGGTTTGAAAAATATAATTTTATATAGTTATTAATATTACTACTTTCGAATATGCTTCAAATTATACACATAATATGAGAAAGTTATGAGATTTTCTTTATTGTAAGATAGAAAATATTTTCTCGCAAGAAAAGAAGGTTATCTTTTTACCATTTTAAAAATTAAGCATACGGAAATTTGTACTCTTTATATGAGATTAGGAAAATTAGAAGTTTAGAAAATATATGTATTTTTTCATGGATATTTTAATGAAATAATAGTGTATGTATTAATTTTATATGGTACCACACGACCATGATAGTAAAATATATGATAGTAAGATGTATAAAGTGTATTAAAGTGAGTAATATTTTAAGTAATTTGAGATAATTCTTAATTATGTAGGTAAATTGGAAATTATCTAAAATATTTTGGATAAGAACATCACGTGGCATCAACATGTGATCCATTAAAGTGACTATTAAATCACTTTGATAAGGTGGTATTAGGATGGATTTCTCATTCTTAAAGCTTCAGCAAAGCTAATGTTGCAATAGCAACAAAATTGATTCAAAGATTTCATACGAAGTCTACCTAATGTTATCGCAACGTGAGATTTCGATTCTAAGGGAATACGGTACAATTTTCTCAAGGATATCATATGGATTTTTCCCCACTTCGATCTTGCTGTCACGTGTATTTTTCGTAATTGACAGGTGTTACATGGATTTTCAAGAGAATTGGCTCAGGTATGTTAAGGATATTCCTTTCTTCTTTTGGCATGATCCAAGTAACGATAGTAAACGTAATGCTATTCCATAAGTGATTCTACTCTTAGCAGTTAAGGATGTCTATGTTATTCATTCATGTAAAGTGATGTCTAAGTATGTTCCTAAGTTTCCATTGAGGTGTATGATAAAGATGTTAATATTTATAATATAGCGATACATGTATCTTCATTCATTTACCATCGTGCTACGGCTGGTTGGGCAGAAATGCATATTCATTTACCACCGTGCTACGGCCGGTTGGGCAGACATGCATATTCATTTACCACCGTGCTACGGCCGGTTGGGCAGTCATGCATATTCATTTACCACCGTGCTACGGCCGGTCGGGCAGTCATGCATTTTCCACCACGCTATGGCAGGTTGGGCAGTTTCACATTTACCACCGAGCTACGGTCGATCGGGCAGTCATGCATTTACCACCATGCGAAGGCCGGTCGGGCAGTTTTCACTTATCAGTTGGGCAGTCATACATCATACGATATGGATAACAGAAATAGTCTCAAAGAGAAGCATTATATATATGTAAGTATGATAAGTACGTATATACAGTGGCACTTCAGAGATTCAGGTTGATTCTTATATGTCTTTAATTAATCTTGACTTATTGTTATGTATGAGTTCTGCATTACATACTCAGTACATTATTCGTACTGACGTCCTTTTATTAGGGACGCTGTATTCATGCCTGCAGGTATAGATAATCAGTTTGACGAGCCCTCATACTAGACGAGATTAGCATTCGGCGAAGGATCGGTAAGACTCTACCTCATTCGGAGTGCAACCGAGTCTATGAGTCATCGTATCAGAATTTTGCTACAGACTTATGGGCAGGCCGGTACCATGTCCCATTTGATGTCAAATAATCTTACAGGCTTTGTAGAAAAAGGTTCATTTTGTACAGTATGTCAGAGGCCTTGACGGCCCATACGTATTCATGTTTTAAGAAAAATGGTTCAGTGATACAATATTTTTCCACTTACAAGTTGTACATTATGAGTTGTAGCCATGTGGGCACATGATAGTTACAGAAGGAATGAGTCCATCTAACTCGACCTATGTATGTTCTAGTTTTGGTCGAATGATCATGAGTTACAGATTGGTTCTCTCGGGCCAGCACGGCATCGGGTGCCAACCACGTCTCCCCAGGTTTGGGGCGTGACAGAAAGATCGAGGAACCCCATAGTCATTATCCTCGTCAGTCCCCTACATCTCTGATTGGGTCAAGGCCGACGTCTGTAGTTGCTATTTGACTTCCTATTATCCCTTCGAATTCGACCCCTTCATCGATGAGAGTGCCGGTATAGGTATTACTTCATCGATGACAAATATTTCCTTGGCAGCACGTTGCTCTCCATATACTATTTTGACTCCTTCTGTCATCGGGAATTTTAGAACCTGGTGAAGGGTCGAGGGCGACGCCCTCATATTGTGCATCCATGGCCTACCGAATAGGGCATTGTACCTCATATTGCCCTCGATCACATGGAACTTTGTCTCTTGGATGGTCCCAGCCACTTTCACTGGCAAAGTTATTTCACCTTTGGTGGTTTCACACGCCATGCTGAAGCCATTTAACACCCCGGCTGCGGGCACAACCTGATCCTGCAGGCCGAGCTGTTTTACGGCCCTTGACCGAATAATGTTGGCCGAGCTACCAGGATTAATTAAAACACGTTTAACTTGAGTCTTATTCATAAGTACAGATATTACCTGTGCATCGTTATGGGGTTCTACGATCCCTTCTACATCCTCGTCATTGAAAGAAAAGTTTCTTTCTGGTACATAATCTCAAGTCCGCTTCTCCCTCATAATTGACACCTTGGTGCATTTGAATATTGGTCCTTGTGGAATATCGACCCCTCCAGCAATCATGTGAATCACGTGTAATGGTTCTTCTTGCTCGTTTTGTCTGTTTGAATCCCTATTTTTGAAGTGGTTCTTGGCCCGATCGCTTAAGAACTCCCGAAGGTTCCCCTCGTTGAACAACAGGGCTACTTCCTCCCTTAGTTGTCAGCAATCTTCTGTTTTATGGCCATGGTTACCATGATACTTGCACACTTGATTAGGATTTCTTTAGGCTGGATCGGTCTGCAGAGGTCGAGGCTATCTAGTATCTTTGATACATCCAATGGCTGATACGATGGCGGATGCATCTACGTTGAAGTTATATTCCGATAACCGCGGTACTTCTTTTGGCCCAGCATCCCTATCGAAACCACTCTTGTTCATGAGTCCCTGTGAACTTTGACCTCGATCATTCCTCCTCTCATTCCGTGCAGAGTTTCGCCCAGATCCCCTGCCTTTACGGTCTCCATTATACGGTTGATATCGATCTCTATTCGGCCTTGATTCTGGATCGATGTCCCTCTTGATTCTATCCACGGGCCTGTTAGGATAAACTGACCCAGAAGGAGCCCCAAGTTGATCATCCTCGACCCGGATCTTCAATTGATACCAATTATGTACATAGGCCCAAGTGACGGCTGGATATTCGATCAAATTCTGCTTCAACTGCTGTGAAGCTATGGAACTCCAAGCGTTGAGACCTTGAGTGAAAGCTTGGACTGCCTAATCGTCGGCGACCGGCTGCAAATCCATTCGTTCCATTTAGAATCGAGATACGAATTCTCTGAGCAACTCGTTGTCCTTATGCTTTACCTTGAAGAGGTCCGACTTTCTTGTTGCAACCTTAATGGATCCGGCGTGTGCCTTTACAAAAGAATCTGCAAGCATAGCAAATGAGTCAATAGAATTAGGTGGTAAATTATGATACCATATCATAGCACCCTTCGATAGAGTCTCCCCGAATTTCTTCAGCAATACGGATTCAATCTCGTCATCTCCCAAGTCATTCCCTTGATGGCACACGTGTATGAGGTGACGTGTTTGTTTGGATCAGTCGTCCCGTTATACTTAGGAATCTCAAGCATACGGAACTTCTTGGGGATTGGCTTTGGAGCCGCACTCGGGGGGAAAGGTTTTTGTACAGACTTTTTGGAATCCAGTCCTTTTAATATCGACGGTGCCCCCGGTATTTGGTCGACCCTGGAGTTATAAGTTTCCACCTTCTTATCATTTTCCTTGATCTTTTTTTCCCCCATCTCGATTCGCTTTGTCAATTCTTCGAGCATCTTTATAATAGCAGGATTGGTTTCTGATTCCTTCTCATTCGGTTTCCTCGAGGCCGATTCGACCATGTGCATAACTTCCTGGGATGGTTCGAGCTCGACCCTGCTCGGAGAGTGGTTCTGATTTTAGAGCTGGGCTATTGCTCCCTGTTGGGCCTGCAGCATTTCAAGGATCACCCGCAAGCTGATCCCGCCATCTTCATCGCCGTGTGCGTTTTGAGTAGCTGATCGGGTACCCCCACGAATGCTGCTTTCGGGGTCAGCGGCCAAATTTCCATTGATGGCTACATGCGAACTGACGTCGATTGGATCTACAACCGGAATTCCACCAAGGCCAGCAGAGGGTGCAAAGTTTCCTGGTGCAATGTTCTCATTTTCACCGTGGTGGCTGAGATCATTGTCAATGTGTTGAAGTGCTGACTGAGAATTCGACATTTTTTAATCCCGTAATCAAATATACTTCAAAGAACAAGTGTAAAATAGTGTTATGAAAATTTGTACCAGGCAATCACTATTAGCCCACGGTGGGCGCCAAACTGTTTAGCTAAAAACGAATAACAATCGAATTTATAGTATGGTTTTAAGGAAACGTGATTTTACTTGGCACAAATTAAGGAAAGCGCAATATT